TAAATGTGCATTGTTCATCAAGTGAACATGATGTGTAGGAAGTCAGTGTTTTGAAGACCAGGTGCACTATTCAAAGTTGGTGCTATAAAAGCTCGAACTGTTGGGTCTAGTATTTCTACCACTTTTCAGTTCACTTTTCATCGGTAGACAAAGCTATGGTCAGTGGAACGAACAACGGGCATCGATGCAGACTGAGCTTCAGACATCCTCTTTTTAAAACGCATCATATGCCTGTCTCATACCTGATGATGATGATGACAAAGATAAGCGGGAAGAGGGGGAGTGCGTTAAGGGCGGACACGATTTTTCCAGTGTATCAGTGTCTCCACTCAACTTGTGATGCATGTGTCGAGAAGTTAAATTACCTTAGAAAATTGACTGCGTACTTCCTAAATGAAAGTGAAATTAGGGAAAATCCAGTTCTTCATCCAACAGATCATACATAGAAAGCAGACAAACTCATGAACGTCCTTTGGAGTTTTCATTGATACAACGTGTAATCGGGATGGGAATTCGAAATATTCACCTACCGTCACCTTTTAAAGGGAATCATTTTTAAAGCTCCTTCTACGCCCTCCAGCGCTCGCACCACTTGGTAGTACTCATACAGCGGATACTGTAACAGAATCCTTAGGAGACATCCTACTGAAAGATTGCTTTTAAAAGGGAAAAGTTTATCCCTAAAACCGGGCTAAACGAACTTGGAATTTTGTCCTGAGCCCGGATGCATGGACAAGTCGATTCATCATTCATCTCGCCAAAATCCTTTAAACTCAAGCTCGAAGAGGATGTCCAAGTTTGTCTGAATATACTTTCAAGGAAAATTAGGCCTCCTACTGATATATCACTTAGGAGTTTAATTATAATGATAATACTAAATAATGGTATTGTTGGCGTTCTTCGTAAGATAGTCGGAAAACTGACACAGCCGTTGTGACGCTCCAATTTTGAGAGCTCTCCGCGTGTGTATGTGTTATCGCCAATCTAACCCAGTTATCTTGGTTAGTCCGCCACTTCCAGTTAGAAGCAGCTTGGTGGAAAACACGAGCGACTGAACTCGGTAGCACCCGACCGGAAAGATACTTCTCCCGCACCCCGACTTCTCATAAGTGAGCAATAGGAGATTGTTAGCTTAACCGCTGTGACAATTAACGCAATCCACTTTCTCACCATTCCTTTGACGGCCTTTGAAGACCTCTTATGTAGAAGAAAGAGATGGATTTTGAGAGGTTTCCTAATCTGATGAAGGTCGCATTCATCTACCAAGAGTATTGATCAATGGTCACTCAGCCGTTGACGCTTGAGTTTCAGTGAGAAGCGGCAGAAATTGGCTAGCATGAACATGAAGGAAGACTGGCTATTCTGTTTTGTAAACACATTTCTTATTTGTAAATGAGAACTGACTTCACAAAGAGATCTCATGTAACAGCCTGTGAAGAAACAAGTTCTGGGTTATGTGTTTCTTCACTGAGTGCCGTACTGAGAGGCAAGTTTTAAACATTGCGTAGCATCGAAAGTCGCAGATCTGGTTGCCTAGATTTTTCTGGGATATTTCCTGTCATTATTTGACGTCCGTTTAGGCTTAAATTCCTTCTGTTAAAAAGGATTCTGCGAGAAAGTGATGGTTAAATTGATGGAAGTCGACACTCAGCACTATACCGTGACGGATGTTCACCGTAAATAGTGGGATCCACACTGCTCTTTCTCGATTTTCTAACAAATTCTAGCGAATCAGTTTTCTCTCACAAACATGCACCTCCCATCTGCTTATACACAGCTTTTTGAAGCATATGTTCGTACGTTCGGCGCAGAATCTGTCGCCAAGTCTTGTAGACAGATGTCAAACGCGAAGCGGTTACGCCGGGCCTTAGTTTGGCAATCTGCAGGGATCCTGACGAGAATCTTTTGGACATTGTGTGAATATGATGCCTCAAGATGTGTTTTGAACACCTGATTTGGAGGGCTGGATGGCCCAGTGGTTAGAGCGCAAATTTACTTACCGGGATGTCCATGGTTCGAACCAGACCTCAACATTTCGTCTTCTATCTAGGCTTGGGCCACCTGGCAGTATCCCAACTCTCGTGCTTCCTTCGAGTGGTACGGCAGCTAGGTACCGAGAGGATGTTACAGCTGAAAGATTTATTTTCATTCTATACCCAAGGTAAAAGCACAACAGCCTAACGAAGAATCTCTGTTCAAGAAATGGTGTTGCGTAACTGGCATCCATTGTGTTCAAACATTTGTTGGAGGACAGAATTTTACTTTCGTGGCACCCACCTGACTCAACCAACGGGATGTACACTGTATTTCTTGGGGCAAGACAGACTCTACCATTGTCCAGGGGGTGTTTTGAGAATTCCATTTGAAAAAGAGCAGCAAATTAAAAAGAAGTTGAACCGACAAAAGCAAGAATACCGGTTTCTTTCCCATCGATTATTTTAACACCGTCCAGGATTACCTACCAGAGTCGTTACGAAACCCTGCTTAGTGTTTAGTGATATAAAAGCAGGTTAGATCATATCTGTGCTGATTATGAACTCTTCTGAAAAATCGCATCTTTTTGGCTCGTTTGCATTACTGTGACTGAGTGCACAACACAATAAAAAACGACTTCCTTAGCGTTTTACATGGTCCTTTCATCCGACTGCACACGACCGAGAGTGTCTGGTCCGGAAAACAAGGTTTGCGGCATTTTTGACAAAATCCCTGTACGAGGTTGATATGAATGGGATGCTAGTAATGGCAGCCCGTATGTCTGGTCACAGTACACATTTGTGCGTGCGTCCACGTGTCTTAATCCGTTGCTCGCATACCTTCGGCTCGCAGCTTTTGGTTTGTGTATTGCTTAGAAGGAAATGGACAGTGAAGAATCCCCTCACCCTACCAGCCCATCCCCTTTCGAAAATGTTCTGATGATTTATGGCTTGCTGAAGATAAATGCCAACCCAGTTAAACAATAACTTCTCGCGTCACCTTCGAGGTCAGTTAATAAGCTAATGTGAGCCCAGACGATTTGGGACGTATAGCTGAGAGGGGACTTAGGCCATCCATCGTCCTTGTGTTTCATGTCAAATGTGGTGTGCTATACAAACCAGGGTTGGGTGCAAAATATCCCAAATGTCCTGCTTTTGACAACAATAACTGACTCCAATAACTCCAATGATAACGCAGGTCACAGGCTAAAACTGTGGGCATTGTCAAACCGAACGCAAACTGAAAAGATCACTTGTAGGTGGTAAACTTTAAAACTGAATAAAAATGATCAGACAGTCTATGTCTAGCCTCTAGGTTGCTTGATGTAATTGTTGAGATGTTTCCTTATAACCTTGATGAAATCGACGAAGAAAACCTGTCGGTTGTGGGCACTCGTATATAAGCAAAAATGTTTCCATGATAAGAATGGTACAGTTGGACGTCCACATCCTTCGTTTATTGCGTCCTTAATCCGCTAGGGTCCTCAGATTCAAAGCTTCCCATTTCTTTCTATTAGATTATTTCGCTGTGTAGCACTGTTTAAATTATTTGGCTTAACCATCTACAACCTGATATGAAACTCCCTATTTCCACCAAAAAACAATTTAGACGAAATTTTTTTTCTAATCATTTGCCAGATTATGTAGCTCGGACACTCCTATTTACCTCCTAATTTGTTGATTATATTGTGTCCACTCTTTGATCATCAGTCTACTGAAACTGCAGCGTGTCACTCAGCCTGCCGATCAGGGCGACAATGGCTGACCAGTCGATCGTGCTAGTGTAGGCTATCGAGTTCTTTCTAAAGCAGCAATTAATGAACAGTCACATTCGCGTTCACTATTGTAAAACCACTGAGTGACCGTCCACTCAGAACGATTGCTCACTAAATAAGCTTATCAACGTTTGTCAACTGTAACACGTCAAAACTCACGTCTTCTCACGGATTAATCACAGCTTTCTTCTGCACGCTCCAAAGTATTAAACCAAAGCGAATTTTCGCCCACAAAATGGCATCATATGTACACCCCATAAAACCTTTGCCTCGACGAAGCGACAACATTCAATCTGTTCCGTATGTAGATCCTTTTAATCCTTCATCGAAGACCACTACTGGGAAGGCGGATACTGGTCGATATTCTGCGTGTTTCCTATGACGACCGCCATCCATTCTGAACTGAGTGTGTTTTCACACCAAGAATCGTTTGATCAGGTATTCTGCCAAAATTCAGTGGACGTATCATCTTATGATAATAATGGTCTATCCGAAAAAGTACCCAAATTCAAGCTGCTTTTCTAAAACATATATCTTCTGAAGGATTTCTGGAGAACCTTGTTGTTTATCATTGTTCTAAGTATTCTGTTTATACCATTGGTGTTCGCAATGCCGTTCGTAACGCGTATAGATTATAAGTATACACCAACTTGTGGACAGTCTGAGCGTCTAACGGCTTTCGAGAAGTGTTTCTTCATGTTATTTAAGCAGCAATTTTCACAGTTATGGAGCTGAAACTTTCTTCAGTTAATGCTGGGTTCGTAAGAGCATAACGGCCATTTTCGCGGACTGTGAAAATCCATAAAATGGCATGCACATTCTGAACCAACTAGTCCTGTTAAATGATCATCTGGAGGCAAGCCAGTGCCCCCTGAGCATACCAGGGCATAGAAAAATTTTCTCATTCCCACCACCGCTCACCTTACCGTTTTGTGGTGATTCTATGGTCCGTGCCTCACTGAGCAACAAACATCTAGATAGTGCAATCCTGAGGCTTGATAATGCATGGATTTCAAGCTAATACATTTATATCAAGCACTGCTTTTGTAGACCAAACATCACATACCCATCACTTCTACCGAACTCACATTTGTGATATCCTTTCTTCGACTGACATTGTTCAAACACTCTCTGAAACTTTGTGAACCTTCTGGTGCGTTCTACAGTCAACCTAATTACAGTTTCATGTCACAAGGAAAAAATCTTGACAGCATATCGGGAGCTGACGTTATCAGTTCCCAACCGTTTTCAGTTCCGTTCCATACGGAGCTACGGCCCGCAAGCAGATGGTACTGCGACAGCAGGTACTGGCTGCAGATGATCATAGACCTGGAAACTCTACCGCACGACAGACCGTCAAAATGGTCACCGGTCTGCATCCGGTCGCGTGCCTCATCCTGTCGATTGTGAACGTCTAGTGTGTATGTTGTCTGTAAATCTGACATGCATACATGTATCCACATATTGACTGAGTGCTGAGTCACCGGTACATACACACAAGCGTGTTGTTTGGGACACGTGCTCGCGGGCGACACGCATGGGATGGCGACCGGAGCAATAGATAACGGGTCTGTCACACATCGCGATGCGGTGCGACTGATCACCCGTCTAGACTGGTCATCCCGACTGATCGATGCCATCATGGAAGAGCAGCATGCAGGACCGCGTAATGTTGATGTTTCGTTCCAGGCTTCAGATATAATCACTGAAGTTGGTGAATATTTTCTGATTGAGCAAAACCTGCTGACCTTGTTCGATCAGTGGCAAGCTGTACACTTAATTTCCACCAACTAACCCGGATGGGTGCAAGGTTCTCGTATGAATTCCGTGCTCCCGTATCACTAGAGTGCACACCCTGGGGACCGACCGTGGTCTCAGTCTTCCTGGAAGCGCTTCTCCTAAAGAACACAGGCCTTTGGCTCTCAAACAATGTTCCCACACAGCCTCAGTGAACGCTGACCTATGCTATTAAATAGAGATTCAATAAACCACTCGAAATGAAGTGCAATACATTAGAATGGAACAAAACATTTATAGACGTAATGGACTACTCATAAGGTTGCTTGAAATTCTTCGGCAGCCCGCGACCGGTTTCGCCCTGTCTGGGGCTCATCAGGTAAGCGCAGTCCCCGAGTTTCCATCAACCTTATGTCCTACTTGAAACCGAATTGCACGGAATCAGCGAAATACACTCAGTTGCAAACAAATTTGGTTTCGCGACTCACCTGGAACCCGGCTGAATATCTCGTTTGTGGTGTTTTCAGACATGAAACAGGAATGAAACATCATTCGTCGTCTATTCGAATCAAGCGTTTATCCACCAGCTTCTATCGCACAAGAGCTATTCGGCGAACAAATGACCTAAAGCGGCCAGATGTAATAATTGTGAATCACTATCTTCAATAGCTAGTTTAGTTGTAAACCTGGTGCGATAAAATCCCGAGTTACACTGTTTTTGTTTTCATAATAACAAGAGCCTGAGATTCAGTGGCACCAATTATCCTGGTTATAGATTCAGCTGTTGATCCCTTCCCCTTATTGTGATCATTCCTAAATTTTCTGTATTGGAGGAAGTCACTTGTCATCTAAATGCGTCATGGCACCGGATGGTCATGTGTAGAAAATACTCCTAGGTCCTGGAAGGAGCGTGAATGCTGCCCGACAGCCCTGATAAAGGTGTCTGTCATTAGGAATGTCCTCATTCTCACTTCAAAACTACTGAAGACGGCCCACAGCAACATAATATGTAGGTACACTGGATTGACATGCACGAACGTCACACCCAATAGTTAATGAATTATGATTCATTCACAATTGAAGTTCTGACGAGCATGGACTCAATTCCATTGGTTGACATATCTACCATGAAAAACCGCATATTTGCCTTCTAACCCCCGGATTATCAGCCTTTTTTCGGAATGAACTAAACGGAGGAATGTATCCAAAACGCAAACAAGTTGCGTTGTTCCGTGAACACCTCAAATATTTTGGTCACCCTACTGGGGATGCGGTGGCATTGCAAATAAGCATACTAAATAAAATCCCAAATGTTCACTACTTCAAATATGTTGCCGCATTGAAAACTGCAGTTTTGGTCCTGATCGAAGTTCAGGTAGAGTGAATAAAACAACGTAAACTAGACCAATAATGTACAGGAGTGGGTTCTTTTAAATCAGGACTTAGGTATTTGAACTTTATTGGGGCCTTTTTTCAAACTGCGGACAAATAAGTCTGGACTGAATTCTTGGGCTGGTTTGTCCGAAACGAAGTATCCGGGTCGAACAACTTCCGCTGGGGCAAAGAAATCCAATGAACTTTGACCTTTTTTTCGAGAAATGCGGTTTGCTCCCAGCTGTCGATAGTGATCTCGTTCCGGACCACCAGCTGTGAAAATGGACTGAAAGCCTCATATTGACCTATGACCTAAACACACAGTATGCCGAAATCCTGAAAGGTGGGCGGACGGGAGTGACCGATTTACCATGGGGCAGGATGTCACATCTCACTGGAAAAACCACGCCCTTCGGGCAAATGGTAGACGAGTCACATGATTACCCGCATGCATGGCGGCTTAATGTTCCGGTGATGTTATTCTGGCAACAGTAGGATGAAAATTTTCAAACGTTAGCTTGATTATTTCAGCTGGACGTTTGCAATGCGGAGAATGAGCTGTTTTCAGGGTAAAAACCCTGCCTAAGGCTAAAAAAATTTACTGAGGATGATTGGGTTTGTGTTACTTTTTGTTCAGATGCCAAATACACTAGCTTTAACCAACAGAAAAATGTTGTTTTATGTGAAAAGAACGGTCACAGTCTTACCCGAGTAGGCAGAACAAGCACAACTCATTTCGATACACACAACTGATTTCAGTACTTAATTTAATTTAATACATCTAGCGAAAAAAATTAACAAAAATATGTCATCTAGTAGTAACATAACATAACATAACGTAACATAACATCTAGTAACGCGACATACTGCATCGGCTTCCTTGCTGTCTCTACAAGTGTCACCGTGCAGCCTCAAATTTCTGTTCCCCAGCCACTCTTCAGCTTCAGGCATATTGATCAACAACTTGAGACAACGCTTTGGGTATTATCAACTCGAACATCTGAATTACGAATCACGTGGACTATTCTCTCTATCATATTGGATTTACAATTTCTGTAAAAAAACGAACAATTGTGTGGTTGTTCCCTAAAAGATGCATTGTTTAATGTGGGTAGGAAGTTCAAAAGTAGGAACCCGCGAACTGGTTATGGTTCTGTAATTATGCCATAAATCGATCTGATCCTTATCGTAGAACTTAAACTTCGTCAAAACACATATTATATCCACACCCTGCGAACAACACTTGATCTTTTCCATACTAAGACCGTCAGCTGTTAGTAGCATGTAGTTTAATAACCATGTCGCATCTGTACTTCACTTTGGAAATTACGGTTTCCATAAACCGATTAGCTTTGTAACGGTCTGTCCTCCAACGCAACTGTTTTGTGTTTCATAGCCGACCTTGCTATGCTGTACTGCCAAACTTGCAACTGAAATGTGATCCCCGTTTCAAGCGTCACTTAACGTATAAGGAGCAATTTACCTAGCTAGTGGACGTAAACCCGCAACCATACGTGACTGTGGATCTAATGGTTTTTAGGTGCCATTCTGTAAACGTAGTCACAGGGCATCTAAATTACCTTAGATTTCTGCACATTTTGCCTTCCTACTCCTGTGAAGGGGTTACTGTTACACAAAACAGGTAATCCCTGCGATCTGTATAAACATGTTTACCAGTCGACGGAGCTGGATGAAGGTTTACCGCTGTAGGCGAAGCTGATGTACGTTGTTACTCAGCAGCCATCTGATTTCATCCTGGTTAAACTTTACCATCTGGTTTAGATCAAACACAGTATGATTTTTGGTGTATGTCACTTCAAAGACTTTTGGCCGGAAGGAACAGAACTCAATAAATTATTTAGAAGGTTTGACCTTTGATCCAGTTAACTAGTCAGTGCCAATTAGCTGTTATGCCCGGGTTCCTTGTATGATACCAACTAGTAATGACTAACCTCAGCTCTTCATCCCTCCCTATTAGGAACATCCTAACATTACAGTCAACCTAACTTGCTTTCGGAGGTCACAAAGCCTACGAGAATCAAAACGCCCTACCTAAACTTGTCATCTATTTATATTTTGTTATCTAATATAAAATATATAATATGTTTATTAGAACTGAATGTTTGCCAGTAAAGTAGGAAGTGAATGCAGCCCAGCTATGCAACATTGTGTCAGCCAGCTGTTTGAATCCCGATATGGTTTGGATTTGATATTGCCCAATTTACATGGGGTTTTGGGCTCGGACTTCCTCAAGTCTCTTCTAATCTCCGCGTTGCGACAGGCCTACTACGATCCAAAAATGACTACTCCTACTACTACACATTGCCATAATTATTCATAAGGTTGCTGATAACTCCTCGACGGCCCATGACCTGTTTCGCCCTTCTTGGGGCTCATCAGGTAGGAGCAGTCCCCGAGTTTCCGTCAACCTTATGTTCTACTTGAACCCAAATTGGACAGTTTTCGACAAACACAGCCATTTTCATATCAAATCGGTTTTGACGGGAAGCTCACCTGTAAGCCAGCTGAATCTCTCGTTTATCTTGTTCTTAAGCAATTGAATATGCCGCACCAGGTACGAAATTCGAGATATCGCAATACAATACAATACTATTGCCTGCCGACAATCATCTGTGTTCTTATGCATAGTTCGAAAACCTCAGGTGCACTGATGTTAACAGAACGCACTATGAGTCGTCTTATTCCAACAGCAGAAACCACAATCTGGGATCGTCATACAATCCTCCAAAATTGTTATGATCGTACCAACTACAATTTTGCGCTGTGACCAACACAAGGAATATGTCACATTTACTGACACCCAACAATATTGCCGTTTCTGACTCTGATAGCTGCTCTAAATTTAGTCGCTGGAACTGTTTACCTCACCGAGTAGTACTAAATAAGTCAACATCCCTTGATCATTATATGCTTATTCAGAGAGTATAGGGACTGTTTGAGGACGACCTTGTCAAGAAGACCCCCCTTGGTTATGGGACACCAAGAGTGCCCGATCGTTGCTTCCTTTTTCACATTTGCACATGATGTTAAGTGGAAGGGGCACTTAAAGTTTCCAAATCCATTCTGGTACAGCTTTCGTGGGAAGAACTGCTGACAGACAGTGAGAACATACTCCTCCCAGTTCACCTTATAAAAATGTAAACAACAAAGGACATTATGGAATGTACAGTGCTTTTTGTTGTGCCTGTTGTCAAAAACTCGCAATGCCGTGATGGGTTAGGAATGTTTTACTCACGAACGGACCAACTACTTGTGACTACCGACGAATTCTTCCAGTTCGCAAGTCGGAAAAGCTAAAAAAAATATTGTTCAGCATGAAACACCTGGGATGTGTCTAGCATACACTGTGGAACAGCGGCATAAAGCATGCCTCACATGTTGTATGATCTTGGCTCAAATCGTGACATTACCAAGGGAATGAACTGCCGATAAACTGAAACAGTATCTAAACTCGCCTCCCTTTCGTCATCACTTTGGTATGGACCCATCAGAGCAGTCCCACCAAGATGGGATAAGGAAGGTCCAGTCGTTGTACCGAATAGACTATTTCGTTTAGTGAAGATAGGGTCTATAGTGCTTTCATGTGGTCACCCCTAATCTAGATTTTGCATCTTTGGCCTCTCTGCGGACAGAATTTGGCGAGCTCACGGCTTTTGACAACG